ATTGTTTCCTATTATTGACTCCTACCTTGTATAGAATTAGAAACCCCTATGTATATATGGACATGTACTCCCACATATTCAATCAATGAAATTAACCTTTCTACAAGTTCTTTGATGGATTAAACTTTCTTTACACCAACAATCTATTGAGGGAGGTTTCTTTTTTCTTTTTTTTATAAACTAAGGGAATATTTTTTTTAAACACCAAATTAAGATGGGTTGGAAATACTCTAAGAATGAACATGGTCAATGACAAGTAAAAATTGAAATGTCACACGCTAACATGAAATATTTCAACTAATAAAAAATAATTCAGTCGGTGTGTGAAAGGTGAATTGAGTGACAAGCCTTATAATGACAAGTCATTGTTTTTATTATCTTTTTACATTTTATTGACATATTTTAATATTAAAATTTACTTCGTATTATACTTGTTTATTTTCTTTTTTAAGGAAAAAAATCAGTTGTTCTTTTAGTAAGTGATAATAATTTTTATGTAAAGTCTACTGAAGAAACACTCTTTTCTAAAATGAACTTTAGACGGTAGTTTCAAAAAATTTAAGAAAATAAAAATTAAATGATCGAAATTTCATTTGAGAATGAAGAAATAATGTGATTCACATTTTTTCCCCCTAGAAAATAAATAAGGAAAATAAGAAGTTTACTTTTTGAAACATGTGAAAAAGAAATCAATAGAGGCAAAGAAATCAAACCGAGAAAAAGGAGTATACGAGAGGACAAGCGAGGGAAAGAGTTTCGTACATGTATCAGCAAGAATTTAGAATAAAAAGGCCTTTTAAATACTCCCTCCGTCCCATAAAGTGTTACCTATTTTGACTAAAGCTGAAATTAGGAGAATGATAATTTTGTGTTAACTTTCCAAAAATACCCTTGATGTGATGTGTAAAAGTAGGTTGTGATGTGTAGATTATTAGAAAAAAGGTATGATGTGATAGGTAGGGTTTAAAAAAGTAAGGGGTAAAAGTGGTTTTTTAATAGAAATGGGTAAGGGATTGTGAGACACAATTTTTTTGAAAGGTGTAAATCTTTTTGGGACGGATGGAGTAATTTTTAACTTATACTCCCTAAAATCTTTATTATAGTATTTTTTTTTGTAAAATGGCTTAAATTAGAAACGAATAATTTACCTAAATAGGACTAAAACATAATGACTTTTTCAATATAGGACCATATGTTTTTATTTTCCAATGTAGGACCATTGGTCAATATCTATTAGTCATTATTCAACTAAATGTCCAGCATGACTTGGACATTATTTTTCTCACTAGTCATTATTAAGTCCTATTTAGGGAATAAAAAAGTTTAAGTCCTACATTGGAAAATGACTTATGTTTTAGTCCTATTCAGTGCAAATTTAACTAAAAGAATAATTACCATAATAACTTGTTTATAAGTTGAATATACAAATTGAAGTAGCTTATAAATAATTTTGACTAACTTATAAATGTGGAAAAAACACCTGCTACAAAGAACGTATTTAGGGTGTGTTTGGCATGGAAATGAATGTGTAGCTCACAAATTTTTTTTCTTTAATCTAAATAAATTCTAAAAAAAAATATTTTACCTCATTCATCCCAAAATAAGCGTACCACCTACTACTATTTTGATGTCTCTATAACACTTTGTTTATTTGTGTATTTTCATTGTTCACAAAACAGAATAAAATATTTTTGTCATATGAAAGCACTTCTGATGTATTTTTGAAATACTCCCTCCGTTCCACAAAACATTACCCATTTTGATGTATTTTTTGTCAAACAGTTACACGTTTTGACCATAAATCAAATATAATTTAAATAAAAAATGTTATAAAAATTTGATATATCAAAACTAGATCCGAAGATGAATCCAATTATATTAAGTTTATATTATAATTTAATATACTTTTCTCACAATTTGTAGTCAAAACGTGCAATAATTTGACCAAATACTATTCAAAATAGATACTGTTTTGTGGGACGGAGGGAGTATGTGATTTAAATTTTTTAGTTTCATACCAAATTGTAAAGAAAATAATTTTAAGGGAGATGAAATAATATACATTGTTTGAGATGATTTTTTTAATGATTTTTTTGAGACAGAAGTATATTTTTCTAAAACACCGTACAAATCAAATAATGATTTTTTTTAAACCTTAGAGATCCGAGGGAGAAATTTTTCAAGGACTAGAAATAATTGATGGTATCATTATGTGGAGTATTTTTCAAATTTTCATCCTTCAAAATTCCCACTACATAAATATAATGACCCAAAAATAAACCTTTCTTAAATCATATCGTCCATTTTCTATAAAAAAACTCTTCATATATCCGATCCTTCAACTACTTTTTAACCCCAAACGGAGGATAATTTTCAAAAGGGGAGAGAAGAAAAAACAAAAACAATCAAACAAACATGGCGCTAGCAAATGAGTTCTTGGCCATATCAGCTGTGATGGAAACAGCGGCTCCTCCGTACCGAATTTCTCCGAAGAATGCGCTGGTGAATCTGCCGGGGCGGGGCCGCTGCGGTCCTCTCCGGCGGCCTTGGAGGAGGAGTGCGGAGGGGCGGCGGCGGATGGCGGTGGAGGCGGTGAGCGTGGAGCCGAGAGTGTTCAAAATGGTGGCGGAGAAGGCGGTGAAGTATAAGGTGAGGGCGACGGTGACGGTGAGGAATAAGGCGCCGGAGGGCTTATTGGTGGACGCTCTCATTAAAAGCTTTGACGCTTTTGCTGATAAGTTGGGGAGGAACGTTGTTTTGGAGCTTATTAGCTGTGAAATTGACCCAAGTAAGTAAGCGTTTAACGTTTTGAAAAGACTTTTAACGAATAACGTTTAACGTTTTGAAAAAATTATCTATAAAAAAGCGTGTAGTGTTAGCGTTTTCATAGATAATTATTCAAAGCATGCACTAATCCCAATTCAAAATATTAATTCCGCTTCGTGCTCGTTTAGCGTTAGCATTTTGAATTTTTTTAAACGGGTTTTAAAAAAGGTTATCTACACACAGCATGTAGCGTTTTCAAAGTTATTTATTCAAAACATTAATTCTAATCCAAAACATTATTCCACATGAGTTACCATGAATTTCTAGTCTCAAGTCAACGGGAATGAAATATGTAAAGAAAACAATAATTTGGAACATTATTATTATTATTATTATTTATCAGAGCAATTAATATTTTTTTTTTAAAAATGAAATCGTGAAATTACATGTCAGTGTGAAAGTCTTCATATCCATATTAGTGTTGCACATTGTTTTCAAAGTCTTTATATCCATTTTTTAGTTACGGAGTATCACATTTGTCTTTCTCCGGATTTAATTTGTCTAAACTAATTCTCACACAAGAATAAAGAATTCTAGTGCACAAAAAAAAATTAAAATAAAGAATTCCATTATAATTTAGAAATAAGTGTAAATAATTCTTTGTCGCATATATTTACACCTTTTTAGTAGCATATATACCTGTAGTTTATTACGGAGTATTTGTACTCCATCCATTCTCAAAAACACTTCCTCTTTCATTTTTTCCACTTTCAACAAAACACTTCCCCTTTCTATTAAAAAACCACTTTTACCCTTACTTTTTCATACCCTACCTATCACATCATACATTTTCTCTAATAATCTATCCATCACATCTTACTTTTACCCATCACATCAGGGGCAAAATTGGAAATCAACTATAATTTAACACTTCCTTATTTTTGCCCCCAAATCAAAATGGGAAGCCTTTTTGCAAACGGAGGGAGTATTATTTTTATGTTCAAACTTGACTGTTAATTAATTTTTTACTTATTACTCCCTCCGTCCCTAAATATTTGTCACACTTGTATTCCCGAGGTAAAATATCAAGTTTTTTCAATTCATTTTATTTACATATTGGTGTAGAAATAAAAAATAAAATTTACTTTTTAAAAAACTACATGAAAAGTTCTTCGAAATAAGAGGTGTCAAGAATATTTTATTTTATCAAATAACCAATGAAAATGTAGAAATAAACAAAAGTTTCCGCGATTGTTGAAAAAGAAAATGTTGCAAATATTTAGGGACGGAGGGAGTAGTTTTTAAAATGGATAAATTTTACAAACACATTCAGTAAATTGTATTTGGAAGAAATTTAATTTAGTTTTAGTATCTTCAAAAAATTATCTAATATTACATGATGAGTATGAAAATGGCTAAAAAAAAAGTTCAAAGACTTCCCAACACATCTTGACCTTCAAAAAAACTCCTATTGTCTTTGAAATGATTTTACACGTTTTCAAGATGTTTAAAAGTTAATTTTACACCTCTTCTTTTTGTAAGAAACAAATACTCCCCTCCCTCCCTTTATCCGTAGATGATCTTTCTATTTGATTTTTCACGATATCTAATTAAAGACTTTAACTATTAATATTTATATTTATACATTGATATATTTTATGAAAATTTAGAATTTTAAACACATGAAACTAATGATATTATATTTATATCGAAACACAATTCATATTTTTTATACATCGAGGTCAAAGTTTTCAAATTTTAACAAAAAAAGGAAAATTATTTACGAACCGTTTAATCACACACTTTTCAAAGAGGGAGGGGTTGCTCTCTAACACTTTTGGAGATAGAGATTCACACAAGGTAAAATGAATGAGTCTCATTTTGAATCTTTGAATGTGATATGATCTCATTCTATTTTATTTCATATATTAAATATTTTTTCGAGTAAACTTCTAAAATAATCCTTTTTAATAAGATGTTTTCTCAAATGAATACTCAATAAGTTTTAATTACTTACGTGGTTTTCTATAATTGAGATTTATTTTCTAGGTAGTTCTTCGTAAATAATTTTAATCAAATTATGATTAATTGGGGAGTATTTTTGTATTTTTATTATCTAAATTTAAAGTATATTTTCGAAATAGTCATTTTTGTACAACTAAATGTAAAAATAAAAAAATACATTGACTATAAATAATCCATGAATTATAAAAAACTAATAAAAATCCTTTAAGTTTCTAATCAAACACAAATCTTTAATTAGAAAAAAACCATTTTGGGAAAGAGTAACATTATTTACAAAAGAATATTTTGAAAATAAATCATAAAGAATCATGGAAGTAATTAAAAGTTATTAAGAACTAATTTTTAAAAAAACTTTATTACCAAAGACACTCTCATTTTTTTAAATCTCGGATACTCAATATGATTTGAAAAAAACTCATCTCAAGATTTTCAACTATGCCATAGTCGTCGTCGTCCTTTAGAAGGAGCACCAGGGGATTCAAATCATCATCATCTTCATGATTCGAATGCCGCAAATGTTGCTCCGGGATTCTCGGTATTTCTGTTGTTCATCACTACGGACTTTCACTTTCAACTTCATTTATTGGAATACCATTTCTCTAGTCCGAAATTCTAGGTTATTTGATTTTATTTCAGTAATTGGGGCTACCCTTGAACCAGAATTTCTGTGTTCCAGGGAAAAAAGGGTTCTCATGGTGTAATTGAGTCAATAATGGCTTTTCTTCTTCTTTAAAGGCCCATCACAAATTCAATTTTGAGGGTTTTGTGTATACACTAGTTTTTTTGTTTTTCAATGGTGGCTTTTAAGGTTCCTACTGGCTGTGTGCAAAGACTTTTTAAGGTTTCAATGTGCACCAGTCAAACATTGTTGCATTTCTTGCTTCATGGATTAAGCTATTTGTACCCCAAATTGTACACTGCTGGTGTGCAACTTCATACAGACACAAAGTGATGGTTCATACTTCATACAGACACAAAGTGTTATTGCAAATTTTTTAATCGCACTAGCATTTTGTGTCTGTGTGAACCTCAAAATGTTAGTGTATCTCTTTGGTGTAACTTTGAGGTACATTTCTTGGTGTAAGTGTAATATGGTTGTTTTTAATAACTTCATAACAAAAGATATGCTAAAGTATGAAGTTTACCTTGCGCAGTTTGTCACTTGGCCTAGAGAAAGGACAAGATTACCTTTTTTTGTCATGGATTCATTGGATTGTTGACAAACTTTATGTGACGATTCTTACCGTTAAGGGTGTTTTTTAGAATTTCAGAAAAAAAATTGTGTTTTGGTTGTTTGCAGAAATGAAGGGTCCGAAGAAGAGTGAACCAGCTGTGTTGAAAGACTGGGGAGACAAAGCTGGGGCAAAGGCAGAGATAGTGAGCTATAGTGCTGAATTTGAAGTGGACTCCAACTTTGGGCTGCCCGGCGCAATCACAATACTCAACAAGCATCATCAAGAGTTCTTTCTTGACAGCATTACCGTGGAAGGCTTTTCTCGTGGCCCGGTCCATTTCCCTTGCAGCTCTTGGATCCAGTCCCGGAAAGATCTTCCCAAGAAGAGGGTTTTCTTCTCGAATCAGGTACATACACAACCCATTCTAGTTTTTTTTCACTCTCTCACATTGATGGAATATAAAGATGGATGTGGGAGTTAGTGGAGTTACCAGAATTGAAATGTGATTACTTTGTCAGCCTTACTTGCCTCATGAGACACCAGAAGGTTTGAGGGCATTGAGGGAGGAAGAGTTGAGAGACTTACGGGGCGATGGGAGTGGGGTCCGCCAACTTCACGACAGGATTTACGATTTTGATGTCTACAATGATCTCGGAAACCCCGACAAAGGTATTGACTACGTTCGTCCCACGCTTGGCGGGGATGGCAACATCCCTTATCCACGACGATGCCGCACGGGTCGTGTCCCATGTGTTACTGGTGCGTTTTCTTTGCAACGTTTGATGTTCTCCTAAATATGAATGCATGAGTTGAGTGTAATATATTTATCTGATCTGGATTAGATACGAAATGTGAGAGCCGGTTGGAGAAGCCAGCACAAATGTATGTCCCGAGGGACGAGCAATTCGAAGAGCCCAAACGCGACGCTTTCCTGAGCGCGAGGCTTAGAGGCACGATGCACAACTTGATTCCCGGGTTGCAGGTGAAGCTGTCCGCGAAAAAGAGCGACTTTGGAGGTTTCGAAGATCTTGATAGCATATACGGCGAAACCCTGTTTCGTAAGTTGGGGATCGATCAAAATTTGCTGGAGAGGCTTCCCCTCCCTCAACTAGTGAGGAAGTTCAAGGATGCTGACATTTTCAAGTTCAACACTCCCATGATCCTTCAAAGTATGACCTTCTCTCCCACCTAATTCCCTTACATATATATTCACAATTTTGATTCAATAGCTTCTTTTCCCTATTTATAAGCACAAGAACAACAACCTAGTATAATTCCATTTCCTGCTCAAAACTTCATAGAATTTAATAAGCATCATAAATTTAATGTTCTATGTTGATTTAGTAGTCCGTGATGTGTCTGAAACTAAACCTTGTCAATATACTTGATCTTCATTATTTCTTTGTTGCTTGGTGATATGAAGAGGATAAACTGGCATGGCTACGAGATGAAGAATTCGGAAGGCAAATATTGGCTGGCATTTGTCCCGTTCACGTAGAAAGGCTTCGGACATATCCTCCTATCAGCAAGCTTGATCCTTCTCAGTACGGACCGGTGGACTCTGCACTCAAAAATGAACACATCCTCCCCTACCTTAACGGAATGAGCGTCCAAGAGGCATTGGACTCCAACAAGCTCTACATTGTGGATTACCACGACATCTATTTACCATTCGTCGACCGCATCAATGCCTTGGATGGGCGCGCGGTCTATGCGACTCGGACTGTTCTGTTTCTGACTGGGGATGGGACCCTGAAACCAATAGCCATAGAGCTATGCCTCCCGGGGAACGGTCTCGCGTCCCGGTCAAGGGTCGTCACGCCCAACGGCAACGCGACGTCGTTCTGGATGTGGCAAATCGGGAAGGCCCACGTGTGGGCCAATGACGCGAGCGTCCACCAGCTTGTTCACCATTGGCTGCGGACCCACGCGGCGATGGAAGTGTTCATCTTGAGTGCTCATAGGCAGATGAGCGCGATGCATCCCATCTTCAAGCTTCTTGATCCCCACATGAGATACACACTGGAAATCAACGCGCTGGCTCGCCAGAGTTTGATAAGCAATGAGGGAGTTGTGGAGTCTTGTTTCACTCCGGGCCGCTATGCGATGCAGATCAGCTCTGCTGCTTACAAGAACTTCTGGCGCTTTGATCTCGAAAATCTCCCAGCTGACTTGGTTAGAAGGTTAGTCGTACCGAAAAAGTCGGGGTAACCCCACAGTTTTGACCTCGCAGACAATAATCGTCGGTGCCGGACAGACAGATATAAAATGAAAACCGGTTTTTTTAGTTTAACTTTCATGACTTTTTTGTTTCTTGTACAGGGGAATGGCAGTGCCAGATCCAACGCAGCCACATGGACTAAAGCTTCTGATAGAAGACTATCCCTACGCAACGGACGGGCTCTTGATTTGGGAGGCAATTCAGAAGTATGTGACCTCATATGTGAACCGCTACTACCCAGACGCCGACCGGGTGTGCAGTGACCGGGAGCTCCAGTCGTGGTACGCCGAGTCGGTCAACGTGGGCCACGCGGACATGCGCAACGCGGACTGGTGGCCTACGTTGGCGTCCCCGGAGGACCTGTGTTCAATCCTCACCACCATCATCTGGCTATCCTCCGCGCAACACGCCGCACTTAACTTCGGGCAGTACCCCTACGGAGGGTACCTCCCCAACAGGCCGACGCTCATGCGCCGCCTCATCCCGGACGAAAACGACCCGGAGTACGCCGGGTTCGTCTCGGACCCTGAAGCCTACTTCTTCAAGGCTCTCCCGAGCAAGCTCGACGCGACGAAGCTGATCGCGGTCATCGACACGCTGTCGACCCATTCCCCGGACGAGGAGTACCTTGGGGAGCGGCAGCATCCGTCGACCTGGACGGCGGATGCTGCCATGGTGGAGGCGTTCTGCGAACTGAGCGCGGACATCGTGCAGATCGAGGAGGAGATCGAGAGGAGGAACCGCGACCCGAGGCTGAAGAATCGGTGCGGCGCGGGAGTGATACCTTATGAGCTTCTGGCTCCAAGCTCTCCACCTGGTGTGACTTGCAGAGGTGTTCCTAACAGTGTCACCATATGATATATATACATTAATGGATTGTTAATTCTAAGTATAAATGTAATGTCTTTTGCCCTTTTTTTTGAGCAACTGCGGATGATGATGATGATACATTGTGGTTGGCTTTATCAATGAATCTCAATAACTATGGGAGTATTTTTATTTTGTATTTTATTTTTTGACGTTAACTATTTTTCAATGATAAAAATGAGATGCAATAGAATATAGAGATTATATTATTTTAAGGTAAAAAACATCACTGCTTTACAAATTTCGAAAGACTTCTTTATAGACTATAAGTATTATTGTACAATTTGTGGAAATATTTATAGTATATTTAATTGTAATAGGCTATAGGCTATTATAATTATAATTATAATAAGAAGGGTTAACTTTTTTCGAAATTGGGTGTATAATTATTCTTACCATAATTATTTTTTTCCAAAAGTGGGTGTATAATTGTATAACTTACCTTTTTTAATTATTTCTAATTTTCGAAAACTTACTCTTTGCATTTGTATAACTTACCTTTATTAAAAACTTACGCTTTTGATTTGTATAACTTACCTTTTTAATATGTTGATTATTATAGATATGATAATTATATTAATTTCCGATGGCTTACCATTTTATATTACTCATGTTAATTATAAAAATAATTATATTAACTTTCTATGGTTAAAAATGACATTTACTTATTCTTACCATAATTTCATACGTTTTCAATCAGTAGTCAAAATAACGTTGGTTAATTATTAGCATATAATACATTGACTCCAATTTTATTAAAAACTTACGCTCTGCAATTTTATAACTTACCTTTTTTAATTATTTCCAATTTTCAATATGTTAATTATTATATATATAATAATTATATTAACGTCACGCTTACCATTTTATATTGCTCACATTAATTATAATTAAAATAATAACTATATTAACTTCACACTTACAATACGTTAATTAATTATTATAAAAATAATAGCTATTATTATATTTATACCTTTTTTAATAATTATAAACCCACAATTTTGGCCACTTACCATTTTAACAACACAATTATTTACTTACCTTTCGGCCATTTTATAATTATTATAAATATAATAATTATAATAATTATTACTACAATTTCGACCACTACAATTATTAACTTACTTTTTTTAATTAGTTCCAATTTTCAATACGTTAACTATTATATTTGTAGCTTTTTTTAATAATTATAACTTCATAATTTTGGCTACTTACCATTTTAACTTCACAATTATTAACTTACCTTTCGGCCATTTTATAATTATTATAAATATAATAATTGGTAATAACTTCACAATTATTACTTCACAATTTTGGCTATTATATTTATAGCTTTTTTTAATAATTATAACTTCATAATTTTTGGCTACTTACCATTTTAACTTCATAATTATTATATTTATAATAATTATAATAACTATTACTACAATTTTGGCCACATTTATTTTTTTAAATTATTTCCATCAATACGTTAATTATTATATTTATACCTTTCTTTAATAATTAGAACTTCACAATTTCGGCCACTTACCATTTTAACTTCACAATTATAAACTTACCTTTTGGCCATTTTATAATTATTATAAATATAATAATTATTGCTATAATTTCGGCCACTACAATTATTAACTTACCTTTCTTTAATTATTATAAATATAATAATTATAATAATTATTACTATAATTTTGGCCACTTACCATTTAACTTCACAATTGCCATTTATAATTGTCATACTTTTTGGCGGAAAAACGATATGTTGACTTCATGTCTATTTAAATAAAGTATGGATATTTATATTTGCAAAAATGTTAGGGAAATACCAAATATGATGTACCCCTAGCATTCTTCGTTGTACCCAACACTCCCCCAACACATTTTTTTATCTAGCTCCCTAATATTTTTACACAAAATTATGTGGTAGATAAAGTGTTGGGATTCTAGTTGTTTTGTTTCCAAAATAATATTTCTGTTTTCTTCTAACATATGATAATAATTTTTATTAACTTAAAGAATAAAAGAAAGGAAAAAGAACTAAATTAGGAATAAAATATTGAAGAATATTAAAATAAGAGTTTCATGTTTATATTTTCAAAATATGAATGCAATGTTAATGATGTTACTATATAGTACTCCCTCCGTCCCACAAAAAAGTTCCCATTTTGACCATAAATTGGTCAAACTGTTGCACACTTTGACCTTAAATTAAATATAATTTAAATAAAAAAATGCTAAAAAAATTTGAGATATCAAAACTAGATCCTAAGATGAATCCAATCATATAAAATTTATTTCATAATTCAATATACATTTCTCACAATTTGTAGTCAAAGCGTGTAAATATTTGACTAAATACTATTCAAAATGGAAATTTTTTGTGGGACGAAGGTAGTATTAAAAAATAGTAGGATATCACTATATATTGTCATAATGTCACAGTGTAAAATCTTATTTTAAGATACATGTTACTCCACTTGATGAAAAATGATGAGTAATCCATTAAAATAAGTGAAATAAGTGTCGTACATCAAAAGTTACTTTCTAAACTTGACCACAAAGTCGTAGGGACTCAAATGGAGGAGGTGGAGGTGGGTTTAGGTTGGGACTTGGGAGAGAGGCCAAATTGGTAAGGAAAATGCTAGAGGTACACCAAAAGTGTACCCCAAACATTCCCACTCCTCCATAACTACACAAAAAAAGCAAGAAAATTTCAAAAAAAGTAAAAAATAAAAAAAATAAAATGAATGGTGTAGAGGCAAGTGGTGTACATTTGGGGTACACCTTTGGTATACCTCTAGCATATCCCAATTGGTAAAGTTTGGGCCCGGGACCCTAAAAGACAATCATGCATGTATACGGACTAACAACAAAGATAATACTCCCTCCCTTCAAATCATTTTATATGAAAATAATGTAAAATTTAAAAATAAAAATTACATATTAAAAAATTATATCAAAAGATCTACAAAACTAGAGGTGATATGACTATATTATTTTATCAAAGGGGTAAAGAAAATAGGCCAACAAAGTGAATAAAATTTGACCTTGTAAATAGTGAATGCAAAGTTTATTTGTGGACGGAGGGAGTAATTATTTTGGAAATTGAGAGATTTTAATAAAATATAGAGTGCTTCGGTTCACTTTGGATGCATATCAATTTTGTGGATCTTCTCACATTAATTTTTTTTTTAAATTTTTAATTAAAAAAGTACTCCGTAGATGCTTATTTAAGTAATAAAAAATGCTTATTTTGCTAATCTGTATGTCCATAGTAGACCTTAGGTTCAACATAGTAATTGCCTAAAATATAATACAATTAACTACATAATTCAATGTAAAATTTAGTATTTACATTAGCAAGAGAAAAGATAGTAAGCAAAAGATTTATAAAAAAACAATAAAAATAATTATCAATGTAAAATTTAATAATATGAGATTTGCTAGAATTTTAACAAAAAACATGAGATACACTGAAGTGATTTTTTGGTGTTTGATGGGTCAAAGTAACGGGACTTTGAATTCTAGCAGCCAAATAGACCAAATGTAATCTCGGAGTACATTAACATAAATTTTAAGTACTCTCAATTATGTTTTAGATAATGTTGAACTTGTGACTTCTTAGCAGAAAACTAAGGGTACTCGGGAACAATTTTTGGTAATTTTTTTTAAATTAAACCATGGAAATGAAGGTTTTATTGATCAAGTGAAATTAAAGTGTTGTTTTGCAAGTACGTGCAATTAAAGTGTAGGCGTATGTAAAAGGATGAACCCCCAGATCCGGTCAGATGGTCATTGGGAGAAGCAGTGATTTCGTCCAATACCACTTTGTCACTTTCATAAAATATACTCTCTCCGTCCAAATTTAAAGTTCCCGCTTTGACCCAACACGAAGTTTAATAAAAGTTAAAATTTACATTGACTTTCCCAAAATACCCCTCAACCCTACCCACGCCCCCATCCATATTGAGTATGGACTGCCGAGGCCTACCCCAAATTCCTGCAGCCAACCCCATCGTTCGAGAGAGAGATTTCGGCGATCGAATTCCAGCGAATTTCCTGCGAGTGTAAGATTCTGGCGACCCGAATAAGATGAAAAAGATTTGAATCAGATTTCTTCATCGACCTTGTAGAAGATGAAGATGAAAAATCTGAAGACGATTCTTCGTCGATTCATAGATCTGAATCGGTTTTCTCAGATTTGACGACGAGGAAGAAGAAGAATTGAAAGGGGGGAGAAGAGGAAGAAGAAAAAGTAGTAGAAGAAGAATAGAAATGAAAAATCGAAAGGGGGATCGGAAGAAGAAGAATCAAAAGGAGCTGAAGATGATGAAGGAAAATTCAGAAGGGGGAAGAAGAAGAAGAAGAAGAAGAAGAAGAAGAAAGGAAAAGAGTAAATTCCATAAAAGGTTCCCAGTTATAAGTCGTTTTACATATTTAATCCCTACATATTAAATATTACTAATTTAGTCCTCAATTATTATATCATTTTTCACGAATGGTCCTTTGTTAACATTTTTGTTAAGAACATGGGTAAAATTGTATATTCATACTTCTCTCTCCTCAATTAAACTTTTTCCCTCCTCTCGTACTCTTTCCTAAACTCGTCGCTGAGTTTGAAGCTCTAAACCCAAAACTGAAATTATCACTCATCTCTCAATTATTAGTTTTCCTGGTGGAACCTAAAATGAAAACCAATAAGCTTTATGGATGAGTTTATCAGCTAGTCTCAAGAAATTGCAAAAAAAAAATAAACATTAAAACTCATCCATGAACGTTACTGATTTCGAATTTGGGTTCCACGAGATCAACAAACAATTGAGAGAAGAGTGATGATTTTGATTTTGGGTTCAAATCTTCAAACTCAGCGACAGGTTTGGGAAAGAAGTGCGAGGGAGGGAGGAAGCTTAATTGAGAAGAGAAACGACTGTGAATTCACAATTTTATCCATGTTCTTAACAGAAATGTTAACAAAGGACCATTCGTAGAAGTGAATATAATAATTGGAGACTAAATTAGTAATATTTGATATGTAGGGACTAAATATCTAAAATAACCTATAACTGGAGACCTTTTATGGAATTTACTCAAAGGAAAAATCTAAAGAAGAAAAGGAGAGAAAAATAAGAAAAAAATCAGAAGGGGGAAGAAGAAGGAGAGAGAGAGAACAGAAAAAAAGAAAAAAAGAATCGTCCCAAATGTGAACGGGAGAAAAGAAAAAAAAAGAAAGAAAAAAGGGAGAGGAGAGGAATGGAGAGGAAAAGTAAAAGATAAAGAACGGTAATTGAGTCTCTTTAATAAAAGAAAGTTGCCAAAATGGAAATGAGAACTTTAATTTTAAACATCCAAAAAAAGAAAGTGGGAATTTTAATTATGGACGGAGGGAGTACATGTATATGTCATTGTACACCCTTCTTATTCGTCATCTTTATCATTCTAAATTTTCACAAATAATAAATATTGTATTGTCATGGATCTATCACATGTGAAAATGTTTTTGTCATAAACTCACAAATCTGAAACTTGTTTGTGAGCCCCATCTCCGAGTGCCTCCTCAGATCCAGTCTGGACAGTCACTCACTGGAAAATAAATTGAAATTTAATCGTAGATTGGTGACAAAGAGTAGAATTTGCACCAGATACTTGCAGAGATCTTATGATTAGCATAGTTGCTTCCGAACGCAGTTGCCACGAATCGAACTCGGGCCTTACCCCTTGACACATTGATACGAATGCATCACTAGAGGACGTACGAGCTCTATCAACTCCCTCTCTCCTTCTCTATTATAAACAACGAATATGTATCAGCTCCCTCTCTCCTTTATGCTTACACCTACTGACGTAGTACCATTCGTCCCCAACCGCTGAACATCTGGGGGCGGACCGCACCTTTCGACACCTTGCCACCACTTTTTATTGGCCACGGATGCGCAAGGAAGTCCAACACTTTGTTGGAAATTGTCATATTTGTCAAACCACAAAGTATTCGACTAAGAAACCGGGGGGCTCCTTCAACCCTTGCCCATTCCGGCACAGGTTTAGGACGAGCTGTCCATGGACTTCATCATGGGTCTTCCACCATCGCAAGGTCAGACAGTGATTTTGGTGGTAGTCGACCGTCTGTCGAAATATGCGCACTTTGGTGCTTTGCCTTCCCACTTCGACGCTCCCCTTACGACCATGTTGTTCGTCGACATCGTCATTAAGCACCATGGGTTTCCCTCTACGATCGTCTCTGACCGGGACCCTATCTTCATGAGCACCTTTTGGCAGGAACTCTTCAAGCTCAGTGGCACCACGTTAAAACATTTGACGACCTACAATCCGCAAACTGACGGACAGACGTGTTAGTCGGTTTAGACGTTGTGCCCACGCCTTAGAGGGGGGGGGGGTGAATAAGGCGTTTAAAATCTTTTCGGAGTTTGATAAAAACGGTGTTGGCAAATGCGGAAGCAATATATAAAACACAGAAATAAAAGCGTAAATAAAATGCACACCGATTTTATACTGGTTCGGGAAACCCCTACTCTAGTACCTCAAGGCTCCTCCTCAAGGATTTCCGAATCCAGTAAGTCCCGGCCTCTTGAACTCCGTCAAAGCACCGCACTAGTTTTGGCAAACAACCCTTGCCTATAGGATTCACTCCGAGATTTCACAACGGCTATCTCGAACCGTTTACAATGAAGATTTACCGGCTATCTTCTACCGTTCTCCCAAGGATTTCAAAGGCTATCCTTGAACCTTTACCCAAGGATATTTATACGGCTATCCTCGACCGATACAATATGAGAATTTAACGGCTATTCTCGACTGTATAAAGATGTGTTTGAAAAACACAAGCAAGAGTTCTACACAACGGCTTGAATATAAAAATGGAGAACAAAACTTAGCCGGTGTAGAAGAAAATTATACTCTCTCAAAAATAGAATATAAACTTATGAATATGAGAGTATATATAACTAGAAACACAAGCTCAAAGTGTGTGTATAAAAATTAGGAATTTAAGGCTCTTAAAATAGCCAAAATATTTAAAATAATTAATAAAAGGATGAACACACTTAGAATAAAAAGATAGGATGTTTAGAGCTTTGTTTCTTGAAAAAATATGAAGAATTAGGCTTGTATTTATAGTAGAAGATGTTAATTAGCCGTTGGGAGGTGATTAAGATTGATTAAATTCAAAATCACAAATCAGGAACAATAATCCAACGATCACGGTAGGGGGGTCCTGTCCATACGGTAGGGGGGTCCCGTGCTTACGGTAGCTAGGTACCTTCTCAGGCCAAAACTCTCTGGAGGTACCTATCTTAGTACGGTACCCCTTACGGTAGGGGGGTCTCGTCCATACGGTAGGGGGCTCCTGTGCGTACGGTACCTAGGTACCTTATGACCATTTTGACAATTTTTTTATTTTTGTCCAAATCATTTCCAATTTTGTTTAAAACCTTTTGGATGTTTGAAAATGATTATAAAAGGGTTTTAAACATGTTTTGTGAGTTGTTTTGAGCTTGTGAATATAGGTATATAAAATCATATCCTTACATTGGTTTCTACCTATATTCTACGATAGTTTAGTGTTTCGACTTCATTCTTGAGTACCGAATCTTAATGGATTCTTGTTTTTCCTGAAACACTTAAACAAACGTTAAGCTCTTATATTGTTTGTTAACATCAAAACATGAGGCTTAGCAAACCAAGGCTAACAATCTCACCTTTTTGATATTGACAAATAATATACTTCAAAGTGAGTTAGGCGGGAGTATAAAAATGAAGCGAGCAAGCTCCCCCTAAGAACAAGCATATTGAAAATACTCACTTTGAACTTTTTCTTGTGTTTATTAAAAGTTTAAGTTTGATTCAAAAGTTTACACAAGAATGCACTCAAGTCAAGTTGCATATGCACCACTTTGAAGTATACATCTTCTCCCCCTTTTGTCAAAATCAAAAAGGGTATTTTGAAAATTTTAGCCATGTATAACTTCTTGAAACCCTCCCCCTATCAAAATGAATTTTTTGGAAAAATGATAGTTTTGAGATCATTGGGCAAAAGGTGCATTTACAACAAAACTTTCCCTAAAAATGAAAACTCCCCCTACAATGATGCAAGTTTAAAAATTTTATTTTTCAGGGATTTTTGAGGATTATTTTCTAAAATGCATGAATTTTAAGAAATTTAAATCATGCAAACCAAGGCTAAAACAAATAAAAGCACATGTGGGATAAGATTTTATTTTTGAAAAATAATTAAAACCAAACAAAATAATATCTATCCCAATAAGTGATAAGAATTTACCCTGGCTTATGCCGCTCTTTCTTTGGCTTTTTATACGATTCTTTCCTCTTCACATACTTCTTCCATTTGAGGAAATCCGTATACTTCTTTCTCATTTCCTTCTCTTCGTCTTCTTCATCATCCGACTCTTACGTAGAGCTCGAGTCACTTGAATCATCACTTGATTCACTTGACTCTTCACTAGACGAGTCTTTTGAAGCTTTGAAGGCATTGGTAAGATTGGGATTTTCACGCATTTCTTCCTCTTTGATCTTTCTCAACTAAAGCTCATGAGAATATAAGGAAGACCAAATGTGGGCGGTTTCGGCCTTATCACATTTTGGTAATAAATCCACTATACTACTATGCCATTCTTTAGGTAAAGAAAATAAAATTTTCGTATTAAGCTCGGAAGTAGTATACGTCTTACCCAACTTACTCAATTTGTTGACAATCTTATTGAACCTCTTGTTCATATCTTGGATTGTCTCACATGGTCCTTTCTTGAAGAATTCGTATCCGGCGTTCCCAAGGGTAATCATTGTTTGCTTTGTCGAGACATCCCCTTCGTGAGTGGCTTCTAATAGATCCCATACTTCTTTGGCAGTTTTGCACGTACTCACTCTTGCAAATTCATCGGGACCGAGGGAGCAATGGAGGATGTTGATGTTGGAGTTGTGCCCTGATGGCCAACTGTTTATCGTTATTCTATCATGTATAGGCAGATATAATATGTTTACACATCTCATGCTAATGTAAACAAATATTATATTCCTAGATTTATATTTAAAAGATGTTTATCAGATAATGTTATTCTGCTGATGAGACTAACATCTTGAAATAAATATTTATCTAAATGTCCATAGTCAAGTATTAACGAGAGTGGGATATCGTTAATGCATGTGAGACTAGTGTGTGTTGGATGTTTGACTTAGTCTCATAGTCAATGACGGTGTGTTCGCATCCGCACATGGGCAGATATTATCTAGAGATAATAGGATGACAGACTGACCCATCCTAAAGATGTTGCTTGAACTTTTAGTTCATGCTCTAAGCATCTTTAGCGCGACCACGGGTGTAACTATCCTTCGACTTGAAGTATTACGTTTTCTACATATGTGAACCCGCATGCTTTGATGCATTGTCCTAAGCCATATGAAATAAGGATGGTATACAGGCTTTGTTTTGGGTATGCCGCAGCGCGTATTCAGAAACGTAGATTACGTACATAGGATTTGTCACTACTCTTTTTAAGAGATTAATGTCTTATGGGGCCCACTGATAAGTTATGATTGAGGAAATTGCATGGCCATGCTGAGATGTTTTTATGACGTCTGTTCCTATCAGTCAGACTTGATAAATCAGTGAATGACTTAATGGATACAAGCTGGATTTTATTAATCCCTTGCATTAAGTTTAGACATTGAGACAAAGGGATACAGTTACACGGAGTCTGAGTCGTGGAAAGGTTTTGACGGTGCAAACGTCTTAACTTATAATCTGGGGGCAATAATGTGTTGCTAGATACCGCTTATTGCTTATAGTATTGGTGCAGAGCCAATACTGTGGCCAGCTTTATAAGTGCCTATACGGGTCACACACTTTG